CCCAAGTATGGTAGAAAAAGAGTAAAGACACATACTGCTGTGATGGCTTGTTCTGATGAACTAAAGATTTGCTTTTTGTTTATTAATATAGGAGGAGATATCATGGAAAGTTACAATTATTAATTTTCTTCCATAAGAGAAAAGAACTTCAGTGACAGGCAAAAGCCCTGGACACCTGAAAGTAGCTAATCAAATAAGTAACTTGCTTGCACAGCGGATACAGAGCAACATTATTATTGCATTAAAACTGTGTATTCTCTGTATGCTCTCCTTTTATCTCATTTGATCTCTATTAACTCCTGAGAGGAACATACTGGTCTTCAGGTGCATTATCATCAGCTTCCTTTTAAACTGCTAACTTTGTCTGCTGTTTGGCACCTGGCAGTGGTAGAAAGTAGCCAAGTACATTTACCCAACTACAGTACTTAAGTATAATTTTGAGGTATCTGTACTTGAGTATTTTCATTTTCTTCTACTTCATACTTCAACTTCATTATATTCATATAATAATTCTAATCCAATAATATGATTAATATGAAATATGCATAATGCGTACTTTTACTTTTGGTCATACCAATCAAAACAGTGAGCTTAATAAATGTCCACACTTGGTACCACATACTAAGTAAAAAGGTAAAGGTTCTGTGGTAACCCTTTTTTAACATATAGCAATTTGATTCAATGTTAATATAAAGCAGCACAACCAGTTCCCTCTGGTGTGCATGTTGTTATGCAGGTGACACTTTCCATCACTGGGAAGCATGGTGCCATTCAGTTTGCCATCACCAGCACAGTGGAAGCCACTGTTAGTAGAAAACACCAGTAGACGAATCCTATCCCTCCACCCAATCTGTTCCAGCAAGTGAATAACATCAGCCAGTCAATGAACCACCATTTGGCAGTAAATAGAGCACCGTGGCTGAGGTAAATGGTTCTGACAGGCTTTAGAAAAAGAATTACCTTTCTGCTTTTGAAAGTAACCAAATAACTGCAGATACACCATGCCTGGTATTTACACCTCAAGTCTAAAATCTGTCAATATGAATTTATTAAAGGCAAATTTTCATGTTTAAAAAATTAGTGAGTTTAAGATGACCCAAAAGAAAATTGCCACTCTCATCCATTGTCTGCAGGCCTTCCACTTCATCCACATAACACCCACCCAAAACAAAACAAGCAGTCCTCCTGCTCCCTGCTGAGCTTCCTCATGTTGCCTCATGCGTCCCAGGCCTCCGCCCCCCCCCCCCCACCGGCCCTTCCACTGTGCTTGCTGTGTCTGTGAAGAAGCTTCAAATGGCTGGGCTCTAAAGGCTGATTTATGCTTCTGTGCCAAACCAACACACAACCAACAACACCTTATAGGCCACTCTGAGCATTTAAGGCTGAGGATGTGGTGGTAGGTGAAGTGAGGGATGCAGGGCCAGCGCTCAGTCCTCTTACAGGGGTCCTGAGCATATACAGCATCACCGTCTTATCCAAATTTGCAACATCACAATTTTTTTTCAGTTTTTACATTATATACTGATAATAATGTTTGCATAGTAAAACTTGATTAAACTATCCATTCCCAGTCAGCCGAGAGTAGTTAACAACAGCAGCAGGTTTAAGCGCTCCAGTCCATCCATAGGTCAAATTCTATAATTGTAATGAAATTCATATGGTCAGCTGCATCACTGATTAGGCATAAAATAAACTAATTAACAAAGAGTTCCCCAACTACACAGCATCTTTCCCAAAAAAGTATCATTCCAAAGGAAACCTCTTCATGGACTCATGGTGCAGAGCATACAAGGCCACTCACCTCCTCAGCACAGTGTGGTCCTGCTGCCAGACACTCTCCACAGCTCCTGGCCCCTGACTTTGGCATTCGTGATTGGAATAGTCTGTAGGTGGAACAGACATCAGCAAAAAAAAACAAACAACAATATACTTTCTCACTGCATAAATGCACCATCATATCTCTGCAGAATTCACTTTGGGAAGAAAAAAGAAAAGCGGTTACTTTACTTTAGATCAGTGTTTTGCTCCCTCTCATTTTTTGCTCTTTATTTGAAAAATTGAATTAAAAAACACATACAAAACTATCACTCAATGACCATTTATTTTTCAGTTGCTTAGCAGCAGTATCATCAAAATTTACTACTTGAAAACCATATGCATCTTGTAATTTCCACATCAAAAATACAACCTCAGAAATTCCATTTGAAGGCAGCATGTGATCTGCGGGTTAAGTCTGAAGGCCAACCAGCAATACTGGATATTTTTACACATTTGATTCATATGTAGCGCAACACATTCTTTCAGACCTTTTTGAGATTTGTCATTTTGTGGTCACAAAGTTTCAGAATCACATGGAAATTCCTGCCATATTCATATTTTTTACTCTGACTTGTGATAAGTTGGTAGGTGGTGGTTCAGCATCATGCCAGATGTCCAGCAAGCCACTAATGGGTCACAAACTGGCAGTTTTGGGGATTAAGCCTCTGACATGCAGCCACCTTCAAGGAAAAACCCAAAGAGACCATGGAGCTACTGTTACTGCTGAAATCATCAAATTTACAGTGTATTACTTCCCGTACTACCCTGAGGTTGTATGCCTCAGGTCCTGTCTGTTGGCAGAATCTGGAAGGTGCTTGATGTTTGGATTATATTTATGTAAATGACATTTGAATGAGCTTGACTTGACATTATCCCACCTAGTCATATCTATATTTATTGCACTTGGAATTTTTTTTTTTTTTTTTAGGAATAGTTGAACATTTGTACCAGGTAGACTGTCTTTTACCAAACCAAGGCTAGTTGTTTCAGCTAGTATGGTATTGGTAAATAGTTTTATATTTACAGTATATAGCACTTTTCTATGCACTCAAAGTGCTTTACTCTATTTCCCTTTCACCCATTTGTACACATAAACTCACATTCACACACCACTGATATCAACAAAAGCCACTAGAAGTTCAGTGTCTTGCTCAAAGACACTTCAGCATATGGACTGGAGAACCCGGGTATTGAACGGCTAACCCTATGGTTGGGGGATGCCCTGCTTTACCTCCTGAGCCACAGCTACCCCCACCACCACCCTAAATAATCTTCTCATCAAATTCTCAACAAGAAAGCAAATAAACATGCTGTCAATGATTTAAACTGTTCCTGTAGGTACTGATTAGGATAACTAGGCAGTGTTGTTGTACTTGAGTCCAGGACTCAAATTTTCAGGACTCAGAGCTTGACTTGAACATGAGCACCGATGACTGTTTCTGGTTCACTTCCACCAAAGTGTACACTCTGCCTTTCTGTAAATATCTTTATGTTTGGCTGTTGTGTCACAGTAGCTGCTCGATTTGTGTTTAATGTGGACCTTGATGACATGGACTCGGGTAACAGGGACTCAACGTAATTTTGTGACTGACTGGACTCAAAAACTGGGGACTCGAGGCTCAACTGGGACTCAAGGTGTAGTGACTTGACTACAACTCTAAGACTGGGATATTGTGTGAGTGTGGTACCTTTACAAGATTACAGTCATTATACCAGCATCTTTTTATGTAGATAAGAAAAGCACATTTTCAAAAATATCAACTATTTCTTTAAAATATATTTTGAATCCAATCGGTTTCCATTTATCAACATGACACTGAAATGCTTCACAGAAGTGAATACATGTGCACCTGCTGTCACATAACATCTGAATCTACGTTGCATTTAAAAGCGCCCAAAGGATATGACAAGAGCACATTTTGAGTGGCAAACAACTGGTGAGATCCAGGCTACAATCTAAATGAGAATTTCTTCTTCGAGTAGAAAGAATAATGAGACAGTTTACTCTTATTGCATCCTCAATGAGAAAAGTATTGACGCACCTTGTGTTCCTGCGGCGTTGTATCTGCAACACAATAACAGGACAGCAGCAAATAGTAGGCTCATGCTGCAAAAAGAAAGAAAGTAATTTACTGACTAAAATGTGTACCATTCTTTCCCCTGAAATCATTAAGGTGAAGTGGAGTTGTAATTGTTGTTTAAGGAAAATAATCTCTGCACTGAAAACCTCACAAAAGACTCCAATATTTAATCTTCTGGGTGTTTGGTTTATACAATAGAAATAAGAGCCACTTATGTTGAACAAGTCAACCATGAGGAAATAAACATGAGGGGAAAAGGAAGTGTCTTCCCTCTCGGTGATGGACCAGATGGTTCCTCTAGATGTCAGGACATGAGCTCGGGAACTTCACAGCTACTCCCTCCCTCTTTTATCTTCTTTTTTACAGCAACCATAAGGGCTTATACTACTGGCTTATATCTCAAGGTCCTGAGCAGCAAATGATTTTTTCAATAAAAGCCAAAGATAAAGAGAATTGGTTTTTTGCTGAAGAAAACTGAAGAAAAAAAAACACTGATATAATTATCCTCGTATAGCAAAGGACCAATTTTATAGAGCAAATGCTCTCTGCTTTGTTGACCAATTATATGAAACTAAATCCTATACAAAAATATACTGACCCACAACTAGAGGACAGATTTCTTGCTATAGAGGCTGGGGAGTGTTTAAACATCTGTGGTCAGACCTGTGTCCTGCTACACCAGGAGTGAAATAAATCATATGAAAGCTGATCCATAACTAATGGCAGATTTGTTTGCAACTGTTGGGAGTGCAGCTTTATCCCACAGGATAAAGGATCCAGTTCCCAGAGCTGTGTGAAAAATAAACTGCAGAATAATCACACATTATCCCTGACTAAAATAATAGAAGGATTATCTGCAGTACTATTTACATAAAACACTGGAAGTAAATATGCTATGTATTTCTTAGAGAGAAGAAGCGTCCTCTGCCCACTCCTAAACAACTAACTGTAGAAGACAATGCAATTAGTCTGTCTGCAGAAATGAGATGGGCAATACATTGAAGCAACAGTTAGTTTGTTATTTCCTTTTGAAAGATTATGAAACAAACAGTAGAATCATAATAGTTATGAGAGAAGAAGGCCACTGCCCATTATTGCTGACTTCTGGTTGGTTTAATTCAACTCACATTTCTTTAGCAGTTTTGGAGTGAAATTATGTTTGCAGAGTTTAAAATAAAAGTGCATAACAAATCACCTCTTTCTTGCCCATGCATCCAAAGACCAGATATGAAGTGAAATGCATAAGAAAGAATGCAAACAAATCAGGAAACGGCTGATATTATTTTGTGTGTAAAAAGTTATCGTAGCTTATTTCAAAGCAGAATATGGAGCATCTGCCAAAACATAAAGAAAGATGACCACACGTTGCTTGCACCAGCAAATTAAGGAGATTTGGTCTTTGCCCCCTACCATCCTACTAACAGAGCAGTGCTCTCTGTTTTTCAACTTGCTGACAAATGACTTCCAAAACACACCAGCAGTTCTCATCGTCTCCCTAAAGGGACATTGATCTCAGGTCACTGAGTATGGGCAGCCACTGAGAGTTATTAATAACTCTCCAATACTCCCCTGCTGGAGGCTAGCTGGGAGCTTCTCTCAGTGACACCATTCATATTTGCAGTTTAGCAATGTGATAAATACAGCCTTGTATCTGTGAGAACGGATTAAAGGATTTGCTGTTAGCAGCAACCAACCGAACTCAGTAACAGCAGCAGCTGTATTTTTTCAGCAAATGAAGACTAAACTTGATTGAGAAAAAGAAAGGAAGAAAGAAACATATTATAAATAATAACAAAACTAATAATAATAACAACAAATCCACTCGCCAGCATTTTCTGGAGCTTTCAGCCACATCTCATGGTCTTCATGAGTGAGTGAGCAATCTCCTGAGATGTAACAAACCTAAAACCTCCAAAATAAAACATGTCGCCCTTGAGTGAAAATCCTTTATGGTCATCTACTATATGGTTGCCAAGTCATTGGTCTCCTGCTGATGAAGACAGTGAGAAGTGGTCAAAAGCTTAGGAAACAAGCAAGTAAGTGGGCCTTAAGATATTTTTGTCAAACCCCTGCTTCTAAGATCAAACATAAATTTCCATGTTATATCAATTAATGACATCAGTTACAGCAACTCAGAAGACAGAACATTAAGAGCAGAGAGAAGACAAATCACAGGATACAGGACAATAAGAAAGACCAAAGGTATACAAAGAGCATCCTGTATGTACAGTATATTTGTTGTATATACAGTTTAAAGAGGGAAAAGACTGGAAGAAGCACATTTTCTTCAACTTTTACATCATCCTTGCTAAGATTAGCTCCCTTTCCTCAAACAATGAATTTCTCATTTTTCGCAATGAACCTCTTCACATGCAGGTAATGTAGTGATTCAAAATGATCTAGATGAGCCCTTGAAGCCATTAGTCGGAGATGTGTGAATAGCCAGGGACAGAGACCATGTGCAGGCTGACAGCTCTGTCTCAGCATAGGCCCAGGACTCAGAACTGAGGCGTATTCACTAACGCAACGCAGATAAAATAACAGAAGATCGAACTCTGCCTTCAGGGGAACCAGGATTATTAGAGAAGCCTGAATGAAACCCAGAGAAATGAGGAAGCATTTTTGTCCCACGTGTGTCAGATGCTGTGACAAATAAACTTCAGAGTTGCAGCTGGTACCATTTCTCCATTGGCCTTCCTATTATTCTGGGATTATTTAATGAATGCTGTATGACTCGCTGAGGCTGACTCAGTCCAAATGCCCTGCTGCTCCTGTTTTTATCCAGTGACAGTCGCCTTCCCAGGTTCAGCTGGAGGCTGTGGTGCTGCTTAGGCGCCGGGAGGAGCTGCGTGATGCCCGCTGCCTGAGGTTCTGAGAAATAGATCGATGAAGGTTCCTCATGGAGCAACTGGCTGCCATGGTGACCAACCAGGGGTGATGTATAGCTTGGTCAGCAGTCAGGCGGGTGCCTGGGTCCACTACCAACAGGCGCTGGATAAAGTCCTTGGCCAGGTTGGACACAGAGGGCCAAGGCTGTGGAACAAAAGCAGCAGAGAAAAGCGACTGCCGTCAGTGTGAATATAAAAACTTTCACCACAGAAGATGTCAGTTCAACCTACATATACAGACACTGCACAATATGCAAGATTTCACTCTAACAACGCAATAACACTCTGAACCCTACTCTGCTGGCCTAACAAGCAGAACTCAGCTCAAAGGAAAGCTAAATGTCACTGGGCAAAGGGAAGCAACAGTCTTGGCTGAATGAACAGAAAGCCTGGGAGGTAGGACAGCCCTGCCCTAAGTGTTTTTTCTTTAGCTTCACAACAAAGACACCGCAAATTAGCTTCATCGGGATCTTTTGCTCTTTGTTAATTCAAATATAAAATCATTTGCTATTACCTAAGCTGACATTCAGGAAATCTGCCATGCCATCTTTTCAGTGGGAGAAAAAACATCCCAATTTGGCTTTAATAAAATAATCATTATCAGGGTTAAAAAGCAAAGTCATTCTCTTCTCACAGTTTAGCTGGGGTTGTTTGAATGAAGTCAAGTAATGATAAGCATTATTCAGAGAATGCTTCTTTACTCACTTTTATTTCACTCTCTTTAATATGCAGAAGTATTTCCATGGTTGCACAACAATTAGCCCAAATATTTCTCCACTGTGTCTGGCTGAGGGTAAATACTGTAAAATCTCTTGTTCCCTGCTCAGCTCCACACAGACTAAATCTCACTCTTAAAAGAGATCTCGTTCTCCATTTTAATCCTGAAATGCATTTCTCTCTCCTTTTTTTTGTCCCTTACTGAGTAATGACAATTAATCAAGCATGAAATTGACAATTGCGAGACTATTGCCGGTGAAAGGAATTCAAAGAAGCAGGGACTCGCTTATTTTCACATTGCACTGACTAAAGAGAAGTGTGTGTGTGTGTGAGAGCACAGTGCAGGATGTCATGAAAATGCCATCTCGCTCAAACTTTCTTCTTATTGTGTTGTTATTTCACACCTGAGAAGCAGGCAGATGACACTTGGTTTCCTTGGGAAGGAGAGAAAATATTTGACTGAGCTTTCACAACTAACAAGTCTCACTTTCTTCTTCATCTGACACTCTTGGTGATTTGGTGAGGCTCCTTATCACTGTGCTATGAAATACACATTTGATTAGTTATGGCTAACAGCTTCTCTGAAATGACAGAAGCCACAGCTATAGGTAGAAAAAGTTTCACTCCCTAAAGAAGAAGAGATGTAAGAGCTTTCTTCCCTGATCAGAGCACCTACAGGAAGTTTATCTCTCCTCCTTATTTCAAACATTTTTCACATCACAATACACAAAGGCTTTATTGTGTTTGGAGGGAGGCAGTGAGGGCCGGTGTTATACATCACTGCTGAACAGAGCGCTGGTCGACGAGGAGGGAGGGGGGCAGACTAGTGGAGTGCAGACATGGCATAAGCAGTGGAGAAACCTACAGGGCTTGGCTTATTGGACAATATCTTGTTAGAGTGAGTGAGAAGCTCTGCTGACTGGGTTTGCAGCATGCTACATCTTTACCTGACAAAGGTATAATTGTAACAAATGAAGAAAACACTAGAAGGTTGGATTACGCTAATGTGATCACAAGGATAATGCACTTTTGAGTAATGAACTACTCCACACAAGAGCATCCACCACACAATTTACTCAAATCTGATTCACCTGGCGGTGTTTCCCGAGCACGAAAGCCATGTTTAAATGTGCCTCATCATAATGAGTCTAAATGGGAAAGGTGGTCTGTTTTTATTTCTGAAGAAACCTGCAGCTAAACCACAGTAATCAAAATATCAATACCCGGATGCAGCAGAGATTGGGCTGTCATTTACAATACATTGTGGCAAAGTGGAGGCTGGATTTGTTCGCTTGGCGCTCACTAGGGGGCAGAATGGGTTAACCGTTACCCAGGCTGCTCTGCTGCTGAGAGATACAAATGTTTGGGCTGGGTTAGGAGCAGCAGAACACAGAGGAGGTTACCAGCCTGCTGTCTAATGCAAGGATTTGTACTTTACATACAGAAGGTTGTCATGCTACACACACACACACACACACACACACACACACAGACAGACACACACAGACACAGAGGAATTGACTCATGCGCATCAGATGAGAGACTGATTGTGTGTGAGGGAAATGCTCTGTTTTACGTGCAGTGAACAGATTGAGTGATAAGGTTCAAAAAGCCCCCGAGGCTACATCCGTTCTTCCTCTGCCCTGCTCATCCTCCAACCTCCTCCACCCAGCCATCCATCAACTGGTCCGCCTTCTTCCCCTGATACCCACATTCCCTACCGCTGCCCCCGTCCTTTCCCACTGTTGAGTAAACACAACAGTGTGTGTCTGCACTACAGGTCTGCAGACCTGGTGCTATTGCACCTGTTGGGGAGGATTGTATGCATGGTGTGTGTGTTAGTAGAACAGGAGGGAAGGGGTGGAGGATGCTGGGGAGACAGGGGAAGCCGGTCTGTGGGTAGGTGGTGGCAGTTGCTTTCATTTCCGAGTCTCAGCTTCAGCTTACTACTGAAACCCCTGTCTCTTGTTTTGTGGAATACTTATCTAACCCCGGGAGCCTTACTGATGATTATAAATCAATGTATAAACTTTGATTTAACTGCAGAATTAAAGACTTTAGATGAATAACTCACTCTATGAGTGAAAACATAGACTTTGTTAAACAGGAAAATCTAAATAATGGAATTTGTGAAGGAATTTTAATAATTACATTTTTTATTTTAATATTTGTGTTTCAATTTGTGTCTTGACTTATTTTTTGTTACCCATTTTCTTGAGTGTGCACTACTAAATTCAAAGGATAGCCCGTGTTTATGGTGGTATGATGTATGGCTCAGTGGTTAGGGCCATTTCCTTATTAAAGTTTAAATCCGGCAGCAGGTTTAAGGCTTAATTTCTTCATTTCAAAACTCAGTGGATCAGCATTCCTATTGGCTGACTGTGCACAGCCCCACGGTCAGTTAAACAAAGGTTAAACTTAGTGTCTGTTGAAGCCAGTCCATAAGATAACACTGAAACAAAAAACAGATACTGTGTCGTGGGCTTCAGTTTAAATAAATGGAAGGCAGAGTAAATATGACTGCACCTTATGGGCTTTATCAAAGGAGTTGTCTTCCATTTTTTTTCCCCAGAGTCCAAAGAGGCAGATGCAATGTCTGTTCCAAGAAGCAGGTTTAGTATCTGACACCACTGCTGAGTAAAACTTCAGATTCAAAGGAATTTCAGGTTTATACATTGTCTAGATAACTTAGTAAACCTCTGTATTACAGAAGGCTGTAAGTGTCAGTGTGGCTATAAATGTGTTTGTCTTTATGTGTTAGCCCTGTAATAGCAACCAACCAGGTGCACACTGCTTCTCACTTAATATTTATTGTTATAGGCTCCAGCAGCCTACAAACCTAACCAGGATAAGCAAAACAAGTAACAGACATGAAACATAAAAAAACACTATACAAATATAAATGACTAATTAATTACTCTTCTATTATCCATTTCTGGTTGAGAACATTTTTAAGGCTCTCTTAACACTGATTGCATTTTATCATGTAATCATCCATCCATTATCTATACCGCTTATCCTATAATAAACACTTTGACCTATCCTGAACAGGGTCACGGGGACTGGAGCCAATCCCAGCTGACACTGGGTAAGACGCAGTGTCCACCCCGGATAGGTCGCCAGTCTATTACAGGGCTGACATGTAGATAAACAACCACACACACTCACTCCATCGGGCAATTTAAAGTCACCAATTAACCTAAGCTGCATGTCTTGGACTGTGGGAGGAAGACAGAGTACCTGGAGAGAACCCGCACAGGCACAGGGAGAACATGTAAACTCTGCACAGAAAGGCACCAAGTGTTCGACTGGGCCTGAAACCTGGAACCTTCTTGCTGTAAGGTGACAGTCCCCAACCACTGCTCCACCATATTCTGGTGCACTGAACCAATCACATTGTTGCATCTCAGGGTTATGTGTAAATATTCCTTGCAAGCTATGTAAAATTGAATTGTGCTGTCTTACTGGAGGTGTTAATGCTGCTGTAAGCATACTGCACAGAGCATCCAGTCAGCCTTATTATTCACACTATAAAAGAAGTTGTGTGTGTTTTGTGAATCTCTGTCCTGATTTACTATGTCAGCTCATTTCAAATGAAACTCTTCAAGCTTAACATGTGAAGGGAATTCCTGAAGCCGCTAAAATTGTTCTCATCCCAAAGAGGAGCACCCTTCGGGGTGGCATGAAGAACCCTTATGATGGCAGAGGTCTGTATTTTGCAGACAGACCTTCATCACATTACAGCATTGTTATCACAATATGTGTGTATCTGTACTACCGATGCGGTGGAGAAGGTGGAGCCCTGCACCTGACTGAGAACGAGTGCCTTGTCAACATGCAAATGTGATTGACTGCTGATCCTGAGCCATTAACTGCTACCGAACCATGTATGATGTCTTTATATTGTCATCATCACATCAGATTGATATCTTTATTTCATCTAGAACTAAGATGCTATGTATATGCTAGTGTATTTCTTCTCAAGTTTTTCTTCTACAATTTCAAATGCCACCATGAAAAATGTGAAATAAGTTCTTGCATAAATGCTAGATGGATTTTTTGCTATTGTGCATTTACTGTTCAGTGCAGCAGTCAACAAAGGGATAATAGTACAGAGCCTGGGGGGGGGGGTGCTTTTTAAAAAAAAAAAAAAAAAAAAAAAAAAAAAATTCAGGCTGCATCCCTAAAAATCAGGGATGCAGCCTAGCACACAGAATAATCCAGCCTGAACAAGCATGAACTCATCACAGAGCCAGACTGAATGGGCGGTTAAGAGTATCAGTTTTGCTATTTTTTTGGTGATGCAGTCTTATTTGATTTTGTGTTGAATGTTTGGAAATCAGTTTAAAAAAATATTCATTTCTGTTGTGTGACAAAGGAAAAGGGGAAGAAACATGCAGCATTCCCTTTTCCAAAGTATTCTCAATGAGCCAAACCAAATGGAAAGTTGAGATACCACAAGAAACTTTCTCATATTTATTCATGTGCTTAACATTGTTGGAGAGAAAGGGATAAAAAAAAAAAATCACTTCGTTACCACACCTGCACATGCTCCGTCAGTTTTCTTTCTATTTATATTCTGCGAGGATGGAATAATGTACTATTTCTGCTAGTTGTAATACCATAATAATTGGGGTGTGATTCATAATCGTGTAGCGAGTAACAGCCATGCTGTGTGTGAATAGATGTGTCACTAGTGTTGGATAGTTCCAAAGCAAGCACATCATGTACATCATCCATAACACAACCAGACTGGATTGTGTTGTGGATTTAAGGCCCAAGGTCAAAGTAGAAATGGCAGATGGGAGTTTTACTTAAAACTGGAGGCAGAAATAGTCCCATTCATGAGGTTAAGTGTCATCTGGCTGAATTATTACAACTGACTTTTCTGGATAAACTGTGTTACTGAGCCTCAGGATAGTATCCACACACTGAAGAAAAAAAAATCAATTTGATTGCATGAGAGCACAGTGGTTAGAATTTAGTGGGAGACTGTCTATGACTATAAATTTGCTACAAGCAGAGGTCAAGTGTACATATTATACAAAGCAAAGGCATGTGTGAACATTAAGAGAACTTTCTGTGAGAGAATATTTATGAGTAGCAACGTGAACAGTATGTAACAGCTGCATGAACTAGCATTCAGCTATTGTCAGTCTGTGTAAGCAAATCTACACAAAAACACTTTACAGCTACAGCACATTACAAAGAGCTTCACTTTGAAAACTGAAATACAAATATCCGCAAAGACTAAACAAACAATAACAAAGAGTTGATTATTAGGGGAAATCTACTGTAAAAACTGACTTTGTATTGCTACAGTAGAGAACTTGTATCCCAAAAGATTAAGGTTTCTTGGCTGTGTCTTATGACTTGTAGCGGTATCTTGGTATGCTACATGCCCAGACATCGTCCTGGCCTATATGCCCAGTTTCTGCCTTGGTATATGCCAACCCACCCTCACAGCAAAACGTACAAAATTGCCAACCTATCACAGGGCTGACACTTAGAGACAGCCACACACACACACACACACACACACAAACACACAGTTTATGTTTCGTAGTCCATGGGGACTTTACATTGACTTACATGCATTTCCTGTAGACTAACCCTAACCTTAACCAGAACCACTACTTGCCTAACTCTAACCCTGACCCTAACCTTAACCTAACCCTAACCTCATCCTAACCCTAAACCATGTTGCCACCCTAAAATTCAATTTTTTGCCCATGGGGACCTCAATTTAGGTCCCCGCTGTGAAATGGGTCCTCATGAGTTGGTATGGAATCAGGAAGAAGTCCCCACGTAGCAGGAAAAACACGTCCACACACACACACACACACAAAACATTAGTATCGCCATAGTACCTGGAGAGAACCCATGCAGGACACAGGGAAGACCTGCAAACTCCACACAGAAAGGCAACGGGTTGGCCTGGACTCAAACCCGGAACCTTCTTGCTGGGATGCAACAGTGCTAATCACTTCAACACCATGCCACCTAAGATTATTTTGCCTCTAAAACCTACTGCGCAGGAATACTTAATGTATTGAAACGCCCAGTAAACTTACTTCTCCGTGGAAGCTGTATTTTCTTCTCACAATGGATCTGTAGAGCCGTGTGTGATCATCATCCTCAAATGGCATGGATCCACTCAGCACAATGTAGGCAATCACCCCCAGGGCCCACATGTCCACTGCACAGGAATAGGGTCTCCTCAGCAACACTTCAGGGGCCATATACTCCAGTGTTCCACAGGTGGTTTTCAGGGGCCATGAGCAGTCTGCTCCAGTATCTCCCCTGCCACTTCTGTCAGTGCCAGAAACCTCAGAGCCCATGTCTGTGCCGCCAAAAGTGGCCAGTCCAAAGTCCGTGACCAGCAGCCTGGAGTCATCTCCAGGGTGGTAGTACAGAAGATTCTCAGGCTTCAAGTCTCTGTGGGTGATACCCAGGTTGTGCAGGTATCCCACCCCAGCCAGTGCCATCTGGAGAGATTGGGTGGCATCCTGCTCTGTGAAGTGGCCCTTGCTGATAACACGGTCCAACAGCTCCCCACCTGTTGCCAGTTCCAACACCATGTAAACCCGCTGTGGAAACTGAAACACCTCGATCAGCTGAATCACATTAGCGTGGCGCACCCGCCACAACACACCAAGCTCAGAGGTGCACACCTCACGGGCCTCTGGGGCCTCTACCGCCATCATTTTTATGGCAAAGGGCTGGCAAGTTGCCCTGTGCTCCACACGCACAACACGGCTATAGCTTCCACGACCGATCAGAGCCTTGATCTCGTACCTGACAGGGCACAAGGGAAACAATGACTCATAACAGCATAATTTCTCACTGCAGCTGATGCAGGGAAGGTATCTGCTTACTGTGACAGTTGACAAGGCATAGTCATGCATAATGATCTAAATCACACATGAACATGACAATACTTTATATAAGCTGTGACTAATTAGATGTGAATCAAACCATGAACTTCACTGAAATCACATTAGTTTCCTGCTTTTATTACTTCTTAGCTTTTATCTGACAAGTACAGGAGGGCAGACTTCAGGTGATACATAGCCCAGACCTCTAAATATGAATATCTATTATTACTTCTAACAAACTGTATTGCACAAGTTGGTGATGTTAATCTCAAAACAATGAGAAGGCTGGTGTCATTATAAAGCTCCCATAAGTATTTGGAAGTCTTCAAACAATCCGTTTTAAAATAAATGATAAAAACTGCTCACAGAGTTGGGGTGATGTCACTTGAAATTGGAAAGACAAAATGGTATTATTCCACCAGTGTCAAGTATGATTAGATCAACATGTTTTTGTTGAAATAAAAAATAAAAAACACCAGCATTTTATTGCTTATTTGGTTTTGGCAAAATCAAGTCACATTTTAACATAAGTGATATAAACATATATAAATTAAAAAAGAGCTATGTAATACTGTATTGCAGAATTCCAGGAAATCTCATTGATTCAACAAAAGATTTTTTGTTTATTCCCTGTAAAACATGTTTTAACACTACAGTAGTTTATATTTAAAGCTGATTCAGAGTTTACTGATATTGATCTTGCATCTTTACTGTAAACATTTACCTTGCTGTCACACGTGGGTCAAACTTGTCCTTATACTTTGCAGCTTTGTCCTGTTGTTGTCTGTCACTGTGTGTCTGCTCTTGGCTGTCTGATGGTGGCTGACAATTCTTAACAGTGGTAGAAAGCCACAAGCTTCTTTGCTTCTCCAGACGCTTCTTTGGCTCATTATAATCACCTTCACGTGCTTTGCTGAAGGCCACAAGTGACTGCATCACATTTACACAGCCCTTTTTTGATGCCTCAGGCATCACCTTACAGTTCCCACAGCCCATCACTCATCCAACCATTACTATGGAGCGAGCAAAAGATTCCTACACCAGCTGAAAACTTAATGTAGCCTGGAAATGTGAGCACAAGCCTACACGGGAGCAGTTTGTTTCTGCTGCAGCATGCAGGCTTGCGGTGATGGGAGGCGCTGCTTTACAAGTGTAAACACTCACTCATGGTGAACTCCACCCAGCCACAGATTGGAGGCTAGCAGGTGTGTGAACTCACCCTGTCTCACTTGTGAAAAGTGACAAGTAAACAAAAGCTATTGTGGCTCTTCATAGAGCAGATTACCACAGTGATGGCAGACTACAGAGTAGTGTGGAACTAAGTCAAGTCACACATCAGTAACATTGTAACATCACATTTAGCCACACAATATAGACCTTCAATCAATTTAAAATGCTACTTGGTCAGCTTCACTGGCATAAAAATGGCCTCCAGTTGTGGAAACTGTTCTGTTAAATCACAAAATGGTCATGGTTGAGGAGAAGAAGATACTGATAAAGCACAAGGAAACATTTTAAAAACTTTTGTGTGGAAAAATCCTTTAGTGCTGTGCCCAGTGTTTCTAGCCATTTCAACCATACAAATGTTATAGCCCAGGCTGCCGAGAGGTAAGGGAGTAACATAGAATAGCCAGATGGAATGGTTCAAGTGTAGCTGGTTAGGTAGCGGCAAGTGGTGACAAACAACCTTAAATATACAAATTCCCCATCACAAAAAGTGGGGGAGGAGAAACACTGACAACACAGAATATGATTACTATTACACCGGGCTGTAACATAAACTTGACAAACACATTCAGCAAAAATGAACAAGACCAAGGCTGAATAGCTTACACGAAGCTGGGCTCAATATTCTTTGATATTTTACTAAGTATTCCATTTTAAAGTACACATATTTTCAGAACTTAAGATCCTATTTTACATGTATTTGCTAGTTGATTTGTTGCTCTACATTTCAGGAGTAATACTGTAACATTTTTCCTCTACTACATTGACTTGACAGCTGTTACTGGTTGGTTTTCAGATTAAAAGGGTACTCCAGCAATTTAGTGCTGTAATGATGACATAATCATCAGTGACTTTGTAAAGCTCCCTCCAGAGCCACACAAGACATTATCCAACTGTTCTCGCAGACTGAGTAGTACTCATTATGGAGAGTAAATTGACTCTAATAGTTTATTTAACAGGGACAATGCACATTAAAACACATAAACATTACTGTAAATGCACCAGAATTAGCCAAAAGGCTATTTTTCATCTGTACTCTTTACACAGATGTTACAAAATCACACCTAACATTGACTTAAAAAAAAAAAAAAAACATAATAGGGTAAATTTTCTATAATTAAAAGTTTTTTTTTTTAATCACTCTCATTCTCTCCAAGTTAAATTCTTTTCTGTTACATTGTTGGTGATGCACCTAGTCAAGCCAGGCCACATGACCTTGGAACTATACCCACAAGTACAGGGACTTAACACACCCTCATACAACTTATCCACTGAAACACTGGTAGCATGAAGAACTCATACTGTTAGTTACAGAAACATGTGTACTTGCAGCAAACTAACATACACGTACTTTAGTAGCGGTGAAATGCAGCATTGTGTAAATGACTTTTATATTCATTGCATTTCTTACTGATTGTGTCTGTGTGTCAGAACCAACACTGGAGGTTCACATGATCACTGTATTGCTTGCATTGCTGAGCACAGTAAATGTCATCATGTCCCTCTCAAGAATGTGACTAGCTACTTTTTCTGTTTCCGCACTGCGTTGTGCTGCAGTCATCATGAGGTCATAATCTTTAGAGAATAAAACGGTCAAGCCTCCACTGCCTCCATGCCTCTGCCTGTACATTGCTAAATGAGCTAAACCTTGCAGAAACCGTGGAAACATTTACATATTTATTCATACATCTGTGGAGAGGAAGTAAGGGATTAAAAAAAAGAAAAGCAGCAACACTTTTTTGTACCACAAATAATGTGCTAAACCCTGAGTTTAAATTATTCTTTTTCACTTGAGCAGAACTGAAATACTGTGGTTATATGAGGTTTGTATAATGAGTTCATGTTTATGAATAAACTGTGCAGCCTGTTTGTGTATTTAGAAAGATGTGCATGGCCTGCCTCTTGTATAATAAACAATATTTGACATAGTGCTACCTTGCTGTTGTGGTCACAAACCACACTTGTCAATCACAACTCTTGATTTTTTTTTCTTAATTTTCTTTTGCTTTACTTCGAATTGTATGTAGGTGGTACTTGTAAGTGGTGGGTATTGCTGCTCATGCTAATTCCTCCTCTTCCGTTCATTTTCTTTTATTTATTTAAAATGTGTGGCTGCTGCTGCAGGAGAAGAATACACAATTTCCTGTATGCCAGTAGGATTATTCTCACAAAAGGGACTCGTGTATAGAAGCAGCAAATAGAAAATCTTTCATGAAATGAGGAGATGTTTAATCGCTATTGTGTTATATCCACTGGCAATTAAGGAGAGAAATGTTTATTTATATGAAACTGTCATAGATGCTAATACACATTGCTGTGTCTTTTCAAAGGTTTAAATTCTGTTGTCACTGGAAAGAAAAGCAGACTGCATCTTCAGTTGCCTGCTCCAGTTTTTTTTTCCTTTGGTCCAGATGAGCCAAAGGGGATGCTGGGCCTATCAGTCCATTCCACTGTCACACACTGTTTATCCCTTCTTGAAGGACTGCACATGCACACATACATCCCCCATGCTCCTCCACAAACAGGCACACAGAGCCAACAGAGGACATCACATCAGCACTGAGGTAGTAAATCGCCCTTCAGAAGTCTTCCTCAGGGGGAGTTGCAGTTCAGCATTTATTGAGCCACTATCTGATTACTAAAAGGCTATCCTCGGTTATAAATGAGCCCGCAACATGTGTGTGGTATTGGTAACGCTGGGGCCTTGGGAGTAAAAGCCATTATAGGCTGCTGTGAATCAGTTTAGGGCAAGAGTGGTCAGAGCGCAGCTGCTACTTGCCAGTCAGTGCATTACTGCTGTTATTGTAGTCGGCGGCTATGATATCTGTGTATAAGAGGAGTAGTCAGGGGCCAGAGCAAAAGTAACGCTGTGGACTGAAGTGGTTCACAAGCACAGTTAAGTGAAAGGCTATAAAGAAGCTGCTGTTCAAACAAGTTTTCCAGCCTAATTGACCATATAGGCCAATAGTCCCGGTTCTCTGATATGAAGGAGCAGGTGTACTGAACCTTCATTGTAGAAGAAATATTGGTTAAAGTTAATGAAAGGTACCAGATTGTTTAGGTTTAGGCACAAAAACTATTTGATTAGATTTGGAGAGATATCCTGGTTTGGTTAAAATATATATAATTTAATTTAATTTAACCAGGAAGTTCCATCGAGATTTCAAACCTCTTTTACAAAGGAAACCTGGCCAAAACTGGGGGATTTGCATTACATACGTACATTAATGTTACAGGAAATAGTCATCGTGATTACAATAATTAAGCAGTTATGGATAAACTAAAGAATATATCGCTCTTGTTAAAGTCAACCCGTCTCTCCAACCCACCTTCCACATTACATGGACAACGCAACCTGATTTCGTCTTTCTCCTAAGAAGACAACACAACTATTTGCCATGATAAGTTGCTTGCACTCACAACATATAGGGTTGTTTTTAAGGAAGAACAGGCTCTGTTGGTTCTAGGTACACTGTAACAAAAGGGATGCTAAAAAGGTTTGAACTTTAAAAATCTAAGTGTCAGGTAGCCAAGAAAGCATGGAGCCTATTTCCAGTGTGCAGTTACCATCACAGCTAGTGGGGATGATTAGAAACAGCATTTTAAAAAGCTGAGCTTCCCAGAGATTGCCTAATGTCCCTGAGCATTTTAACCCAAGCCACAGCTTTCTTCCTAAACTTTAGCAGTTTTGGTGCCTAAACCAATACTTGGTGTTACAGTAATACTCATGATTTTGTTCAACAAACAAATATCACTGTAATGTTCAAATGTCCACATAGACTTTGGTTATATACATATTGTGTCTGTGAGCAAATTTCCTCTTCCCAATCAGATGATCTGTTTTCATTTTTAATTTTTTTTTTTTACATTGACTTTATATAACTGTGGTCTAAATTTGGCATTTATTGTTAATAATAAACTAGAATAAGTCAAGAAGGCTATGAAAAAATTAGCACCAGCCTGTATGTGACATTCTCACTGATACAAATGGCAGTGACCCCAGTTCTTTCATATTCCTACACACAATCCTCTACACACCAGACGAGTGCTTCCAACGAGACCACACATGAACTGATAAAATAACCCTTGTGATGCTGATCAATCTCTGACATTTGTTTTCCTGTCTATGATGGGCCAGTCCCTCATGTGACCTCTGAGCCACATTCAGCATTATCCTGTTTATTAAATCCTAGGTAATTGTTGTTCTGTGGAGAGACACTAGTAGAGAGCTGGACATAAGAAGTATGTTTGCTTATTACAAGCAATGGAGAACTGGAGAAATCAATGCTTGAAGAGAACACTTGTTCTTTTTTTCTCTTGTGAAGACATTTAAGCCTAGCTTACTTTAATACAAGACTGTGGAATGAGCCCTGACTGCACATAGCTATGCAGCAATAAAGCAGGACTGTAGAGCACAATGGCAGTGAAACAGAACTAATTACAGTGACAAGTGAGGCAGGCGCCAGGTCTGTCAACAGAAAGGGAGGCTGCTACATCTTCTAAAGGCAGGACCCTTAGGACTGCTGACAAATACTCTAATTTTCTTTTCTGTGAAGAGCTTGGAAGCGGCCAAGGGATGAGGCACGTCAGACAACTGTCTGTGACGTCTTGATTGACCAAATCATAAACTGTGAGTTGGCAAAATTGGATTCATTTGACAGATACTGTATAGTCACCTGCCCAGACAGTGCACTGATGTCTGGCCATAAACTCAAATATGTAATTGATGAATAACCCTGGTCTTACTCTTTAGCAGACAGGGGGATAAA